TATATATATATATATATATATATATATATATATATATATATATATATATATATATATATATATATATATATATATATATATATATTTATATTTATATAACTAAAAATAAACAATATCCAGTTATCTTGAAAAAATGTAAACAAATACACTCACTAAAAGAGGGATTAAACATCAGTCTAAAAATTCTATATCATGGATTTGAGACAGCATTACTTATATAATTGTCGGGGACAGCATAATGAGCATAAGAAACAAATGCGCCTTATCACATCAGCTACACTTATGACTCCAATTATATACAATGTGTACAGCCTTTTTTTCAATATCAATCTAATCAACTAGCTTCCTTCATAATTCATTGGTATAGAATAAAAGAAGTTTAAATTGAAAATATACATTTCGTGGTGATTTATTAAAATTTGATTTGCAAGCATTAATTTGAGATGTTGTGCCATCTGAATTCATACGTTTCATGAAGCTATTTTCCACGGCACTATACAGACAGCTTCCTATACACATGTGACTGATATGATGCAACAACTACGGTTTGAATATGGAACCAGTAGAGGTGATTCAGCAAGATTAAGTCTTAAGTAACATATGACGAAGTCAAACTTACCAACAACAAAGAAAAACTTCGCCGATGCGTTCAAAACGATAGCTTCATGTGGGAATAACATTCGACTCTGGAGCAGTAACATAATTTGCTTCGAATAATCACCGCCACCACTGGCCGAACCCATTTCCTCCAACACAGTTACAAATTCATCCAGATATTTCCGCCGATCCTCTAGCTCAAGGTCATTGAATAGTGTCATGTAAAATCGTGCTGCATCATCATAGTTCTTTAGCGCGGCTGCATGCCGTGCTTCCCATAGAGCCAATCTCATCCGTTGCTAAAATCAAATTTCTGCATATTTATCACATAACTTAACCGGACGCTATCTAATGTGGATCAAATGATTGCTGACCCCTCACTTGCTCAACGCTATTTACGGTTTATAGAAGATTGTATGACCTCTCACTGCTGACCCCTCATTTGCTTAACGCCATTAACGGTTTATGGAAAGTTGTATGACGACGGACTCATCATCTAATATCGTCAGGAATACAAAATGTGTCGTTTTAGGAACGAGACAAAAATGTTACTCGGGATTTTATGAATGACAATTATCTCGCAGAGTACAAAACACTGTCACATTTCATTTATTACAATTAACACAAAAAAGTCCTATTAATTCCAAACTTCTATTTTTCTTCTAAACTTCTAAAGTTTTAAAGCTTTTTTTTAGAGCTATTCTAAAGCTCTAAAGTTCTATTAATTCCATTACAGTCAATAGTCCGAATAGTTAAAAGAAAAGCACGGAAAATTGAGATTATTAATGAAATATGTTACTGTAAATACTAAGCTTCACAATTTCCCAGCCATTTTTATCTTTAGTGAATGGAACATTTCATCAACAATTTTAGTGCTTTCTTCCTAGTCCTTTTTTTGTAACCACAACCAACTGACTGACTAAGGATGAGAATCAAGGATCTAGTCTTTCTCGCAAACACCATACGGTTTAGCGCAAAGAAAAAAAGTACTGAAAATCATCTTGAAAACATCAAACAATGTTGAAAACATTCAGCCAGCAACTTTTAAATATTTTATTCACCCATCTATTTACATCATTATCGTACATGAGCATTTTATATCTCATTCACCCGCTCTACTACAACATTAAACTTAAACCTTTTATCCCCAATGCACCAAGCTGAGAAACCTATCGACTGCTATACAAGAATGTAATTGGCAGATGAATGTTACTCCTTATATATCCACATCAAGAGTAATCAATCATTTTATTCTTTCATTATTTTATAAGCGGTTGCTTAAGTAATTAGAATTGAAGTATGCAGTAATCTCACCGGCTAATCATTATGAAGATTTGAAAAGTAAAGTTTCTTCTGGCATCGTCGGATATTTGCCCAGATATTTCATATATTGGGTACGTAAGTAATATGCAAGGGCAATGGTTATGTTGTGTTGCGTATGACGAAAGATTTTCAAATGATCACCACAGCGTGATCATCCGTTATGATTTTCTATCTTATCTAAATTGCAAAACATAGCAATGGATACAATAAAACATTGCTGAGGAATATCGTGAAGCATGCTTTTCATACTGAATAGGCGTGTTATGTTGAACCCTTAACTTTTTACCAATGCTTACTAGCAAAGTGCGTTATTTAGTTTCCGTTTTTTCATTATTCCTATCACTATTTTCCCCCGATGTCAAAAATCTCGAAGTTTGCAATTTATCCATTCTCTTCGCTTCACTTTCCGGCAAATATTTGCGCATCGCTTTTTTGCCAATCTTAACTTATCATCGATATCACTACCCATATCCATACGCTCAGCTAACGGTTTTCCGTACATGTTCATCAAGCGTACTTGGTCATTCGTCGTTACCAGCAGATCATCGGGTGGATAAAGTGCTGCAGCCACACAGCGGTATTCAATATTCAACATATTGAACAGCATTGCTGCTTCTTCCTAAAAGCCAAATCTTCAAAGAATTAAAATTGCACCCTTCTAAATTGACGATGACGAAATAGACAGTTGAGTAGCACAATCAATAAAACAATGAGTGGAAAATCATTTATAAGATGTAAGGGTGAAGTTATCAGGAAATCTGTATAAGCAGGTCCAAGTTAAGGATGATGAAAAACCATTTTTTTTTCTAGTCCACAGTGTAACTGTAGCTGATTAAAATGTGAAAGGTCAGAAAAATGTCAAGATTTGCAAAAAAGAACTTGCCGAATGCATGATTTCGAGTCCAATCTTATGTTCAGATAGAAAAGGGGCAATTCGTCTCCGAACGGGATCGACATGTTGACGATCTCCTGGCCCAACTACCAATACATCCAACTTTGGTTCAAGCATCGCAAAAAAATGCACTGACTCAGGAGTGATATCATCTGGTGTAAGAACACGCCATGAGAGCACGGCTTTCGGGAAAATTGCAATTGGACCATAGAGAAACTGACCATCGTACAGACGAAAACCGTACTTACTGATACTTCCAATACCAATCTGTTGACATTCTAGCATTTGATCGTTTAGTCGTGACAAACTTGTCCTTGGCCCTTGATCGTTATCATCTGCAAAAGAGATGTGAGTCTCATTTTTTCAATGCTTGCTGCATTATTCTCTTTTATCCACTGCCAGATAGTATAGAAAACTTTCCTCGCTTATGTAACATGTTGAAATGTGAAGAGAGCCATTGCACTTCAAACCAATTATTTTTCACAGAATAGAGTAGTTAAATATATCAAATTTTGCATTACAAACATGAAGTTAAAGTTGATGAATGCCTCGAAAGAGCCGAAAAAATTAAACTTGCCGAAAGGAGTGTAGTGATAATCAGTCAACACTTCACGATTGCTGTAATTAGATGAGAACATCCGCAACTGACATAACAAATGCCTTAGTCTTAACATTACAATTTCCTAAATCGAAGATGTCTTCTGAAATCAAGTATCGCTTATCGATAGTTTTCTTCATTTATTTCTTCTCCTTTTGACTTCTGAAAGCAACGAGGAGAGCTTGTAATCTTCGTCCACTCCCCCAGAAAGTCTAAGAGACATATCAAAATTGAGAATTTGTCTTTATGCGGGAAGGATGGAATCGGAACAAACAATATCTTTCTAGAGTGCTAATTAGTCCAGAAATTAGACAAAATGGAGATATTAACTGCTTGTTCTGTAAATCTTTAATTTACCGAAGAGAGTTGAAATTTTGCACTGCAAGTTTCCACAGATTAATTACGAGAAACATATTTAGGAATATAATACCGAATTGAAAAATAACAAAACGCCCTTTATGCACATTTATTGAACTAGAATAGAAACAGAAGCAAGATCAGCTACTACTCAGTTCAAATTATCACAACTTCAAAAGAGCAAAGACAACCAAATTGTATCACATAATTTGTTGCTTGACAATTATATTTTTCAAAATGTCCAAACTTTCAAGAAGTGAATCTGCAAATGCGTCTGCACTGCGCTGATCCTGGAAAAAACGCTTTTAATGCAAAAGTTTAAAAAAAAATTTCAATTCCCTTGCTATTTCATCGACTTATTCAATACAATGTTTGAAATCACAAATTTAGAATAGCATCTATCACCGTTCAGCAAAGATTCCCTTGAAAGGTCGAAACTGGTTGTAAATCGGCCTCGCAACTAAGCCTTATGATGGTTGCCTTCAGAAAGCTTCGCTTAACTCCCACACTAATTAGGTTGTCATGATTTAAAACACTTAACATTTTTTTGGAATAGAATTTCCTGTCGCTTACAAAATGTATTTGAAAACTGTTGTCATTTTCGTTTGCGTTTCTGCAAAATATTTCAGTAAAATTGTGTAGTAATAACCTCATAGGATGAAATAAGAGCTCCAATTTTGCTGTTGAGTACGTTGTAACCAATACCAAAACCATTAGGAACAACCGGGCCAAATCCACCAAATGTTATGGTTTCTGTCGAAAGAGTTGATGTTGACAGAATGAAACGATTCATATATTTGTATACTGCACTACTGAATAACTTTGGCTGCGACCAACCAAGCCTCTCAGCAGTACAGCGTAAACCCATCAAGTGACGATCGAAACCTTGTCCTTCAACGGAAGTACACTTTAATAATGTAAGTGACAACAATAAGCCATCGTTCAAAATCGTAGCACTGTCAACTACATCAATTACCTGTTGCAGCTTCTTTCACTAGTTGTGAATGCACTGAAGAACATTTCTTCACATGTTCCCCAATATTATCTTTGTTACTTTCAATCGCCAGAACTGCATTTGCCGTAGCACATGTTGCTGAACGCACGCACTCTGTTCGTCCCTGAAATATATCACAAAATGTATCATTTTTAAGCTTACTGGAAACATAACTACTTTATATAAATTACCACCTGCATTTTATTGGTGGCAGTAAATACGAAAACAAAACAAATAAAGCGCCAATTTTTATTCATTGATTTTTATTCACCGTTATCAAAAATGAGCAGAGAAATAAAAGAGAATTTTAAAAGCTCATGGAATGAGTTTTAACTTTACTTTTAGAAAAGCGGCAGTACTGCACGATTCATAAGATGGAACGAATTCCTTAAAAAGCTTATAAAAAGCTAGCTGGATCGCTAACTGTATGACAGAGTCTGGTGAGAGTTTTGACTGTTTGATAACTTGTCGGTTCATTTCAAAATATTCTACAGAGCTGAAACGCACTCTGGACCCCATCGCAATGTGTTTTGCTTGAGCTTCTTGAATCCTTTGACGTATTGAGTCGGTTAACATGAATTCTGCAAAATATTTTACGGCGCTTACCAAAAATTTCGAATGATTTGGAAAATTGAAATTATTGTTTGAGTAATGTGAGTAATCTCTGTGGAGTGATACAACTTGATATATGTAGGAATTACACTTTTTGACGGTAACTGCTTAATTTCATTATGATACTGTTCAATCTCAAATTGCCCATACCACTTCTTTCATAGAATGGTAGCTTAAGCTACTGCTGGGCGTTTTTTCTTTCTCACAAGACATTGCTTTTTAGAAGCATATCAAAATTCGAAGGGAGGGGGGGGGGGGTTAAGGAATATCAGAAATACTAACCAACTGGTCGTAAATGATTTTCTAAATGTGCTCCAGCACTGAAGGTCTGGTTGGGATGTACGAAATGATTTTGTTTCGTATCGCGGAATGATTCTTCCATTAAGCGAAGTACAGCAACACCATCACCCCAGCTATGTTCAAAATTTATCGTAGCCAAACCTTGTGCATCGACTATCAATTGAAAGCATTTATCGAACCATCTGAAAAGTAACATACACTCATTTATTCAACCAGGAAGATCAACAAGATAGGTTAAATGTCATGACAATATAAATGTTTGAAAGGATCATATTTTGACTGAATGCTTAAGCACTAGATCTAACGTAGTTGCAAAAGTTAGCCGGTCTATTCTGTATTAAAAATTCATATGAAGTCCTTAAAAATTCATGCCTGTTACTAGCGTCACCACCACTTAGTAAACTCTGGGCCAATTGATTTAAATCGTCACTTCTTAGTGGATCCAGGCAAAGGACAAACAAACTATTATCAATCAATGCCAAGCTTGCCGAATTACTGCCAACTGAAGACAACTCAGAACGAACCTAAAATATATTTGAATTATGACAAATCCTTCCATGTCTCCTCATCAACACAGTTTTTCATAAACCACTTATCCAAGTGCATCAAAGAGAGGCTATAAGAATTGTTATAAACTGTTAGGTCACAATGATTAACTTTACTCAAAGTAATTTTGAGAAGGATAAAAAATTATGGAAGATCTTAACAAAAAATCTGACTTCTGCCCACTGGTCGCGTTCGAGTGAGGTCAAAGACCCGACGCAATCTTCCGGTTTTAGGTGACTTTGTTCGGATAATATGATGGATAAGCAAGCCTGAACTTGCTCTGCAGGCATAAGTGAACCTGTAAATATAAATGCAGTAACAATAAGGAAACTTGCGAGTACCGAACAAGTTAAATGCATTTATGCCATTTATGACGTTTTGACACATATAATTCGTGAACTGTTCATTTCAGTCATAACGTACCATTTTTATCAAATAAATCAACAGAATAAATTCTTCCCCCACATAAGACAATGAAATGTTTAGAATCGGCACAATGCAGAAGCCAATCCTTCCCTTTCTGTGGAATACGCGAACAGCCAAAAAGTGATTTGTATTGGCTCATATCCAATGGAAATGCACCAAAAGCCGCTGCGCCGTACCATCGCAAATTTTCCGACAAATTCCTTGGGAGGTTTTATAATTATATTTACAATCCACAAAATATATTTCATCTTTCCTTGCATTCTTTTTTTTCCAGTCATTCTTTATAAATAGCTCCTAATAAAAATGTAAATATTAGTGAGTTAAAGTTGGCTTTCAATGGTTTTATCGATCACAGATCGGTGAATTAGAGAAAAGAAAATTTTAACATTTATAGAAATAGGCTAACTTGCAAATCCATCTGAACGATGCTAAAGTGGCAGCCTTGGGATTTGTGTAGTATATTTCAGGCGTTAAACATTGTGCATCTAGAGCACGCTTAATACGACCGTATGAAATAATTAGATTTGTTGCGCGAGTAAGCTGAAATGAGTAATAAAACATCCTATTTAAATGGTAACCTTCAAGAATCATATCAGCATTTAACTCAGTTGGTGACAGCAGTAGACATCAACTAAACGACATTCACAGTCCCCTAATAATCTTATTTTTATGTATATCGTGACCATCTGATGTAGTCAATACATGCATGCAACTGGCAGACGGTAAATTCAATGAAGAGACCGGATCGATAACAGATTGCAATTTTATTAATTGCATAACTAATAAAACTGAACTGAGAAATTCACTGATGACTGATTCTTACCTGGTCATTATATGCTGGATCTGGATCCGGAGCGTAAACCATGAATGGATTATAATTAATAGGGCACGGAAGACGATCACTTAGGTACATGTCAAACCATGGTTCTGATATGAAGCTTGTATGTAGATTTCGTTTATCATGTAGTATGAGTTCTCTTTGTAGTTCTGAAAGCAGCAGTATTTTACTACCTATAAAAAGCAAATTAAGAAACAAAAGATTAATTGAATTTTGTGATATATACCAGGACTTACCAGGACCTTCATGTGTTAGGAAATCTTCCACTAGCTCTTTCAGCAACTCTAATTCTCCTTTCTGAAGTACGGCTTCTGCAGCTCCTATAAGCCTAAAAAAAAGAGGTTATTTCCCCATACTTTATGTTATTATAAATGGTTAGCTCATAATGCAGTAAAATAATCACCATATAAAAGATTATATTTCGGGGAAAAAAAGGACCTGCGACAAGAATCTGACAGCTTTGGAATCGGCAATCGTCGAAGACTTCTTTGGAATTGGTAAGTTGGAATATCACTTTTGTGAACATATTGATAGTCATCACCCCTCAACTTTTGAGCACTGAAAACTTTTTTGATGAATGATGGATCCAGTGTAATGCAATTGTCCAGAATACACCAGATTCCGCAGTAAGATGAGATAAACGAAAACTTAGTACCCTGCTATTACTTGGATACTTTTTGTAATTTGGGTGAATGGAAAAGATGCACAAATATTGCCAAAATGGAAATATTGAGGTGTAATTCTCGAATTTTCTTCACATGACTTCCATATATTCAGTAATATGACTTACGCGCAGCCTGTTGACATTTTGCGCAGTTGAATCAATGAGATCCCTCTCCGTGACATTTGCATGGCTAGGCAAATTGATGCAAAGTGAAGATTCAAAATTTAAAATTAGCTATAATATCAATCCATTGAATTCTGCACCTTATATAGCTTTTGCACACATGACATCCTGGCTCTTTCAATTTTGTAATCATCAACAATCCTACTAGTCCACTGTAGAAGAAATCAAGAAACAGCCCATTTCAAGAAAAAACCATTGTTATGATAACAAATTGTTCATACATTCTGATATAAATCATTTGAAATTTATTTGACATAGTTTAAGTGAATAAGATAGTGATATGCTATTAATGGAGTAAACGATAGATTAATACTATTATCCTCAACTTATAAAAATGCTTCGGCTGATCATAACGTTAGAATATTTATAAAGGAACAGAGATAGGGCTGTGAATTACAGCTCAATTTTAATTAAATAAATGAATGCGCACAGAGCTTGTACATATGCAAAAACATATAAGGGATATATAAGGAAAAATGCAGAGTAATTAATAAAAAAATTCACCACGAAGCAACAATTCATATATGTACTGGTTTAGCAGAAGCCAAATATATGCAAAAGTTTTTAGAAAGCAACCAGGAAGTTCAAACTAGCTAACATTTCAAAGTGATAAATAGAAAGGCTTAGGTAACTCAATTATAGCAACAGCGTTGCATGTTAGAATTGATGCTTAAATAATGCTTTCTTCAACAGCCACGTTTCACTTTCAATATCCGTTCACGAGCCTCGTCGCGTTTCAAGTGAAGTTGCTGACGTATTTCAGTTCTGGAACAAATGCGCTTATTCATATAACTTTTAATCACAGCATTCATTACATGGTTACAAATAAGATCCCAAAATTATTCTGAGAAAATCTGAACATAATAAAGGTAAAAAGAGATAAACCTTGAGGCGGAAACAGCTGTGAAAGTCTGTATTTGGCCAAGCATTTTTGCTTCATGAAATTGGCTGTCAGTCATTTTTGTGGTATCCACATAAGGTATCATACGACGATAGGGTACATACCGACGCCCACATCTACGAAGCGTTTTCTTTTCACTTTCCGTTAGTGACACTGAATAAATAAATGAAAGCCATTAACAACGCAATTCAGCCATACCAATTCCTTGTAGTAGCCCAACTATGCGGTAGACTGACATCGTCAACGGATATCGCGAAAATGACCAACAATTTAACCAAACAATGAAGATGTTGCGGAATACGAAAAACTATAAAACAGATTACCATCAGAATTCTTTCCTTTCGGAGTAGCCAGTCTCTGCAAACGTGCGCTTAGCTGCGGTACGGTTACAGAATTAATATGTTTAGTCAACTTGGTAAGCCTTGGAGATTGTCGAACTTGTTTAGTATTGAGTCTTCTCGTCAGCTCTTTCACACCAACCTATAAAATGCGAAGGGAAGGGTGATTTCTCAACTTTGGCTCCTTTAAAGAAATTCAAGCTATCTTTAAAAAGATATGGAAGTCTCGAGAAAACTCGAAAAAAATGAGCAGCATGCCTTCAGTGGCTTTTGTTTACATGGTAGTGGTATTCTGGACCGTGGTGCAACATCAGCGTAGTTCTGCTCCGTTGTGAAAGCATTTTTTGTACCGTACAATTTTGAAAATGAAAAATTCATCTTTGATGGATCTTCATCAACATTCCTGAACTTATACCTGAACAAAAATACATTAAACAACAAAAATAACAACAAAAGAGACCCACAAAGACTTTTCACCTAGTCTTCGAATCCCATAGAATCTACTTTAACGACTAATATCTTCAAAATTCCTTGACGTAGCTATATATTATAAATTTCCGGAATACAAGAAAATAGTTCCGATGACGAAACCATTCCGTTCACTGCTTAAATATATAGCAAAGGCGTACCCGATGGCCTTCAATGCAACTCCAACTCCAGTTCCAGGCTTTGTTATCTTCGAAACTTTCGGTGTAGCTAATCTCTAGAAAAGTACAAAATATATAAGTGATTTTATAAAAAAAATGCTTACTCAATTAAAGGTTATCAAGGGTGTAAAATCAGTTTGGCGTAGTATGATTGAAAACTGAATATTGTTTCCCACAAGCTTAAGATTCTAGTCGTCAAACTATTTCTAATTAAGGCTACCTTGGTATTCATTTACAGCATATCACTGAATTAAAGATGCAGAACATAAATTCCGCAATTACTAAATTCCTGATCACATTCATTCGGATCATGTGAGCACTGAATAATTTGGATAATTGTTTCAGTCAGGACTGCAATTATAATCACAACCAGAAATCGAAAGTTATCGGACATTCGATGTGTAAAATAAAGCTAAGTTATTCCTTGTCTTTAAAGTTAATTGTTAAATCTAACTGTGCTTACAAATGGTAGCTCCAGAAAAACAAATTTACCTTGAAAATATCAGGGACCGCCTTTTCATGTTCTGCAAACATCCGCTTCACATTTGCATCTGCTTCTTGCAGAGTTGGTTGTTTTTCAGTCAATTTCTGATGGAGTGCGGCAAATCGTGCAGCATCTAAATCTTTATGTAAGCATTTCTATAATTTTTTATTACCTTTATCTAAAAATTATGAGTCCCTGAAAGTTCTCTTTCCACGATTTTCAGAAATAACCACACAAACATCGAATCACGCTACTTGGTGAACAAGAATCTTCACTTGTTATGGAAAGATCGGCAAAATGTGAATGGAAGTTGTGCTCGTAAATCATAAAATATCCAAGATAGGACTATAAGAACTGAAAATGCCTATATTTACATAACGTAGTACATAATAACATAGCAATGTTATGTATGTAATGCAAGAACTAATGACTCACGTGCACCACGAGCAGTAGATCTACCCTTGCAAGGAGTGCTTATATCTTGTTCCATCTTTCGACTGGAACTGGGACCATTTACTGATACGAAATTGGCTTCTTGGCTACATTGAAGGATGTTTTTTTTCTCAACTGAACCTTCACCTGGAAAAGATGCGAAAGAATATTATGATTTTGTAAAAAATATTTTCAAAAAAAACTCTCCTCTTTTTCTTCGTAAAAAACACTTTTTCTTTTTGTAAAACATTCCCTAAATGAAAGGTTATATAAGAATCTAAAGTTGTAAAACAAAAAAGAAGGAAACTTCCTAACTTGCTACAATTAAATTCTCGGTGTACTGTTCCATATCGCTACCACTAGTTCGTTCAACAATAAAAGTCTGATTGAGTGTATCATTTGATGAACTTTTAGGCGAACACGACAGGACCGTCTGAAAATGGGATGGAAATCATGACAATGCAAGATGAAGGAACTGTACTCGCTCATTGATTACTCTTTTTTTAAATAGCTCGCCATTTTATAACTAAAAACTATTACGAAACAAGAGATATCACATCTTTAGAAAGTGAAGTGGGATTCAAAAAATATTACAGGGTAAGATTGGAGGATAACATATGACCAAATAGCAATATAAAGAAACAGTAACGAAAATGCAGAGAAGAACCCATACAGTGGTAACATCATATCAATACCTTAGATTCAGCAACTTTTTTTGGAGTAATATTTTCTTTATTGCATCCACGATGTTTCCAAACTTTAGACAATTCCATTATCAGCACTTCTTTCTGAAAAATTTCATACAGTAGAACTGATATTTCCAGATGATTTCTGTCTATAAGCAGCTAAATAAACCTATCCTCAGCAAATAATTGTTTTAAATGTAACCTGAAATACATGCCATTTACCTCGCAGCATTGCTCGAGTTATTATTATATGCTGCTTGAATACGGCATGCATGACGAAAAATCAATCAATTCGAACCAGCCAAAATTTAACTGATCAGGAAAGAAATCGGCTGGTTTCACTAATCAGGAGTGACACAATTATCGAGTTGGAACAAGTTAAAAGTTAACTTACTCTGTAAGTCACAAGTAAGAAAACAAACACATATACATCCACATAAAGCAATAATTCTGAAAAAAATTGTGTAACGATAATAACCTTCTGATTAGCATTCACTGAGTAACGTTTTGCGGCTTTTCTTAACTGGGAATATTTCAGTGTAGAAAGACGATTTCGAGTATCTTCCAAATCTACTGATTTGTTTTCCATTTTCCGCTCAAAATAATAAACTGAAAATTTAAACTAAAGGAAAATGAATTAGTAATTAGCGAAGAAACAACAAAATATACCATATGAAACTAGTACCATAAAATGGCAGAGAAAATGATGTGATTCATGGTAAACACCAGAAGATAAAAGGAGAATCATTTCAATCTCACTAAAAGCAAACCAGCTACTCCCCAATCACCACACTCATCCCCTCCCCCGCTTCTGCATTGTCCTTTGCTTCATCTAAATCTCCCTCCGCGCCCATTTGAATTGACCGGTGACAAAGGTCACTATGCGATCAGGGTACGGGTCAGTTCGCGATGGATGATAGGGAGGGAAAAGTGATGCTGGCACTACAATAATAGGTATAACTTTGATGTTTTTCATACTACTCTCGTGCGTATAAGAAAGTCTGTTGGGTCATAGGGCAATGAGTCACCATTCAATAATGCTTCTGCTTTCAAATTCATGGTGAAAACCCTGAAAAACCGATGAATTTAATTTTAGATTTAGTTTTAGTTTTTCTTTAAAGTTTTTTTTTCTTTTTTTGAAAACAGCGATGGATTTAGTTTTTTTTTTCCACCAGGAATATTTCTTACATTTAATTTTAATTGAGACAATTGTAAGTGGAACTTACTTTTATATGGATTGTGTAGTCGTAATCGTTTTGAAATTATATTGCTCTAGCCGTGATGTCCTCTTCAATAACCGCTAGTTCCACTCGTTGGATTCACACGGATCCGTTATCGGCATTGTGGAATATGTCAGATGATGTACCGACCAATGACGTAACAATAGGTCCGGATCACAAAACTGTTATTGTCTTGGATCATTCACCCGATTTTGCCACTTCTTCCAACTTTGTTAGCTTTATTTTTTTCGCGTTCAATTAAAGTTTTGAGCCAATTAAATTTAAACAAAATTGTCATATTTGCCCATCTTAATTTACTGCTTCAGTTTTTTCAGTTCTGTTTAATCCCTGGCTTGTTTGTATGGTAGAAAATTTTGCTATATATATATGCAAATTTTTGACTTTGGAAGTTGTCTGTTTTCGTAACGATATGTAAGGATAGGAAGATATCTTGCGGGATGGTTCGGCAGTTCTGAATGAAGCCATGGATAATAGCGTAATCATTGATATGCTTCCAGAACAAGTTAAAATTATTTTGCAGAAAATTGATATCCCACTAAAAGATTCAACAACGGGACAGATGCGTGTTGTGAGTCAGGTGGAGAAGACGCTTTGGACTTGTGCCGTTGAATCAGCCTTTGAATTCCATCGAATTGTTGATGAAATTTATCCAGATGGTGTGCGACTAATACGTTTCGTGATTTCCGATTTTGTTGGAAGATTTCTAACACCAAACTGGGGCACACAACTTATCTCATTAGATCAGGTTCATATCTCATCGTAAAATAGGTATCATGAAATATGAGATCCTAAATTTACTGATATAGTAGATAAACTTTAGTGTTAAGGATAAAAATTTTTCCATAATGTAGGTATCATTTTATGTTGTTAATGCCTGAGCACCTTACGATTCTTTAGCAAAGTAATTTTTTAGTGCTCTAATTTTATAATTTGGTTTTTTCTTTCTTTTTTTAGTTATTGAAATCATTCGCATCCTGTGGCGTCCCGGATGCTAAAGCAGATTTATCATCCTGTTCAATAATTAATGGTATCTCGATCGCTGTTGAAGCTATCAGTGAGTTGACAGAGTTACAGAAAAAGCAGTCTGACTTGAATTCCGGTTTCAAGTATTTTGGAAAATGTAGTAAACGTGGCGAAAACAGTACGAGACAGTATAATGATGACGAACAGTTTGGGAGCAAAGATTTACTCGACTTTGTTGATGATAAGAAGAAAACGGACTTGAGAAATAAGAATTTTGCGGTAGGCTTTAGGTATTCATTCTCTTAAAGGTATGTGTTGCTGGTAGGGATTATTTTTACTTCGGATTCAAGGAATATAAGAAATTAATGAGCATTTTTGCTTTCTTTTCAGGGTCGACTGAAAAGATTATCACTGCAAATAAAGCTTGCAGAACGAGGAATGCATGCATTAACAGTCGAAAATGGTATCAAAAAAGCGTTTCCAAATATGGGCTCGATTGTTGTTTTCACTTCTCTTAAGAGGTATATGTTGTAGTTGAACAGTTTTGATATTTAATTTAAAGAAAAATAGTACCATTTATAAAGGAATCAGTATTACCAATTGAGTTGCTTACTTTAAAACACATAGTAATTTGTAAGCAAGTAGTAATTGATTGATTGTTACTACTGAGGATATTTCAGTGATGAAGATATTGCGATGTTGACGAAACATATCACTGAAGATATTATCAGTCGCAATAAAATTGTAAAAGCTTTGGATGGTGACAAAAAGTTAGTGCTAAGAAGCGACCTTTTTGTTGCAATTAAATTCAGGGAATGGTCAAACTTTTTGTTACGCAAGAAGAGAGAAGGGAAAGATGGAGAAACTCCGATGGATATTTTGTACAGATACTTTTTGTTTTAGTTTTGCTCCAATCACGCATGTGCAAGTTTATTTTATCATTATTTATCCTGTGACAGATGGCAATAAGGATAAAATCTATCTTCCGACCGCGAAACCGCTCACTAAGGTTGCTTTATTTTATTTCTTCAATTACTTTGGAACACGACTTTCTATTTTTTTTTTATTCACATGACCCCTTTATACATTCGTTTCAAGAAATATTTTATCAGTTAGAAACTTATTTTTTGTAGCTGAATGAATACGTTTCATGTAGTGTTGTCTGCGCTGAAGCTGGTCTATCACTGCGACCTGTTTTGCATGGTGTTATTCTGAAGCACTTTGATTTAGCTTCGACGACGGTTACTAGTATACCAATGAAGGTTAGCTTTTACAAATAAATTCTTACAAAGTCTAAATTCGGAGGTTTTAATCCGAATTTCGACATTATCACAATTTTCAGGAAGAAGCACAACAGGGACAGTCGGTAAACTATGATGTAGAGGTATTTCATCCACGTCGAAGTCATCATTTGTTGCATCAGTACGGCTTGATCGGGCCAGGTTCTAAATTACGGGTCAGTGTTAATCCTGGCGACTACGAAACCGTTAGACTAGCTTGGACAACTCCATCCGCTAAAAATCGTTGGAATCAGGTCTTTGATTTGTTTTCACTGTATAGTTAATGAAATACGGGAACAGGGAATAAGAATAAATATAAATGGTTTGTTTTTAGTTCCCTCGATGTATCTCTGCACTTCCGATATCGCCAGCAAGCGTCAATGGTCGACCATCTGTCTGCCTTACTTCATTTCTTCTCAGTGGTAGGAATGTCATGCTCGAAGTAACATTTTATTATTAAAACTTTCGTTTTTATTTCAAGTTTCAGGCGTGGAAGAGAACTTTTTTTGGGCATACGGGTTTTTTTTTCTCTTCATTAGAAATGAATAAGTATGACTGAACCGTAGGTGTAACTCAATTAACAATCCCTTTTCATCGAATTTGATTTAAGTCTTTTTTTATTGATTTAGGTGTTGAAACAAAACGTGCATTTGCCACGAGACGTTACGCCGAATGTTAATCAAAAACTTATTTCACATTTGCTGATGTGTCACGCAGGGAGAATTTATATGCATACAGTGTACATCGGAAATCATCGTAAGTCATAATTTTCGTTTTAAAAAAGTATTTTGTTGTAAAAGATTCCTGGTTTATCATTTGTCTTCTTTGCAGCAATACTTGATGATAGGAAAGTGTTGGCAAGTACGGTATTGCCTAAACCGACTACGGCGCTTCGTATTGCTGATTTTGGTAGTTTTATGAAAGAAACGCGTCTTGTTGTTTCACCAGAAGCAGGTAATTGATGCTTTTACATTTTCATTCAGTTTCATTCAGTTTTTTTTCGTGCACTGAATTTTATTTCCGAAAAATATGCTTCCAGATTTATAATCTTGCGTTATGCTGAGCCTTGTAAAATTAAAATTGGAAACTTCCTAAGTGTGCCTTTTGCAGATGTTTCAGCTTCGTTAGCCGATGATGAATCGACATATAATGAACAAGCACGGAAGCAGTTGTTGAGGCTAACTCGTTACTGGCCCTCTAAATTAAATGAAGCTTTCATATACAATATACCAAAAGTACTGTCATTAGACATTGATTCTGGTTTATTTTCGAGAAATTACTTAGTATTTTACTGATTATTGAATGTCGAAATCAATTACTTCTTTATCCACATCAATAGTTTTGATTTCCAGAAATTCGATCCACTGTTGACTTTAATGCGACGCAGTGAGCTTTCAACGAACGATGTTAATAAATGTCGAGAATGCATCTATGCTTTAATGGCTTACAAGGACCTGAAGGACCCACTTACTTTGAAAAGTGTAGATTGCCTAAAATTCAAAAATCCACTTAGTAGGTGAGATGAGTTTCATTTTTCGAAAACCAGACTTCTGGTAGAAAAAAAAAGAATTATTATTAATGAGGTGTACACAGTTTTCTTCTGGAAAGGTATAAGGTATAGAAATATAATATCATTAAGGTAATATGTGTCTAAGACTTTTACAAGGTCCTTACAGGGATGAACAATTACGATATGCTTGTGAAGAACTATTGAATCATTTACATAACTATGTGAACCATTCAGCGAGACACCTTGAAGTGTTCAACATGTTTCTGCAAGTACATTTTTTATTATATGTTTTAGCATCATTCTGCTATTGATCTTTTTCAGTGAACTTAAGCAAATTTCTTACTACATTCGGTGTAATCTTTTGATTATAATGTCATCTAAGGTAATACGTAGGAAATGTGAATGTGCCTCTGTGTTTCCCAATTGGTTCATTTATATCTTTTATGATTGCAGATTTCGGGTCTTGATCGTGCAACTCATCTTTCCGTGCAAGATGTTTCAGTCCGCACCATCCAGTAATTGTTTTTCATAAATTCCCTTGATATAAAATGCAGTGAGGGTGCATTTGATACCAGTTATCGTATACGGTACAAGCAGAGTGGAACTTATTAAAAGTGAAGTTATCTTGTAGATTATCCGAGATTTATAAATGTTATATCCGTATATATTTTCGTCTTTTGTAGGTTGCAGTCCAGTTCCTCATCGGTTTCAACAATGAGAAGTCAATCACCAATGGATACGATGCAACCGAAAAGTCGTAGTATGTCTCCGGTGGTAAAAAAACCACGAAAAGCCATATATACCTGGGGAGCAAATGGTACTTATAATCATTTGTAGACACATTGGCTAGGGAAACGCTGTTATGGTTTATTTTCATCAAATGTTATTTGTTCAGTGAGATGCAACTTTAAATCCTAAATTTCTTTTCTTTTTAGAAAAGCTGAGTCTTTACGACTACTACCTTGAACGATACCAGAAGGAGCATTTGACGAAATGGAAGGATTTCGTTGGTCGTGTAAAAGCTGGCAACAAACCTGCTGTACTTTATCCAAATCTCGATCTTAGCAAAGCATCTAGCAAAGGTGACGCTGAATCTGTGTGATCCTTTTCCATGTCTATTT